TGCAGGTTTTATCGGTTCAGCTCTTTTGCCGTGTTGTTGAGCATCACAGTCAATATCCGTGCAGTTTTTCTTGAGTCATTGCAGAATCAAGACCTTATAATAACGGGCTAAGGGTTGTTTACGGGTTTTTGTGTGTCTGTGTGTCCGTCTGTTACGAAATTCGTACAGCGTGTTCCAACCAGCATTCTAAGCCCATTTGCATAGCGCATGCTACCTTCATGAAAGTCCAATAGGCAATGCACGAGTAGATTCGATGAGTGGATCCCTCAGAAATTGCACGCCAATTGGTCCACCTGGCCTCTGTCCCACAAAATTGGGTCCAATTTATCGCCAATTTTTGCAAAGTCGTGGATGTTTTGATAAGCAAATGTGCAAGCGATGGACTTTAGCCCGAAAAGTGGTCAAAAATTTACTACATAACGAAAACGGCGCCAAAAAGAATTTTTTGCGTAAACGATCAATTTGCCAAGGTTTTAGTCAAGCATGTGAAAAGATTTTCGCAGATGATGGTGGCTATTGCCTTTATGGCGACCACTAAGCCATGACAAATTCAAAAGCCTATTCAAATTTGCGTTTGTCTTCCTGCGAAAAGTTTCATCCACGCGAAATCGCCGATCTCACATGAAAAAGCTTTCTAAATGAGTAGTTGTGTACATTCTATTCGTTAGTCATCATGCGCGGTGAGTTTCAGTGCAACGATTTAACGAGAATGAGTAAGGCACATAGACAGTAGAGCCAGTGCGAGCCTCTGCGAAGCAGAGGTGACGCACTGGTATTTCATAAGGGGTGGGGCATACATCATGTAATCTCATCGACTCGCAATTCTCACAACGAGATAATTGTTACGAGTTCATTGCATGAAATTATCTTGCGTTTCTGTTGTGATAGTTTTCCAACCCGACTAATTGCGAATAGCTACCAAAATCAAAATACGAGATGTTCGGCATACAATGGATTTGTAACAGCTGTCTTACCGCGAAAATCGCAAGGCGATGAAATCGCTTGATGTATGCCCGGTCCTTAATTTGGTTTAAAATGACCCAATCATATGACATCGCGGTAGCTTGCTGCTTACTAACTTATTTCATTACCGATTTTTTGTATATAGGAGGCCATCAGAAGGTGATGATCATAGTCACCACTATGTAACCATGAAACCATCACATTATATGATGGTTTCGACAAAATACTGCAACTCCTGATTATTCTGAACTTTGATTATGGAAGACTGTAAAGCTTGTCGAAACTTGAGATGTCGAATGCAACTATAGCTTGACATGGTTTTGAGAAGGAACATTTTTGCAAGGTCGAGAATGATTAATCAGGAACTTGAAAAAGCGAGCTATTGCTATGTCAATCTGGTCGCAGGAATCCATTAAAAGAGGCAGCGCGCGTGCGCCTCGTGCGGCGTAAACAGCAATTGAGTGCAGAAGCTAACCATTTGCTTAGGCATCTGAATGCTCCCTTTGCGTATTTATGCTCTATCTTCTTCCTAAACATTCAGTTTCGTTGGAGTTCTTGTTCTAGCAACGTAGGACAATTCAGACGATGACACGGACATTTCATGATGAGCATTCGAGTAGAAAATGTATAGTTTTTTGAATACGTTTGAAAATGGTCTTTCACTGAGAATAAGAACTGCAACCACGTACACGTGGTATTTGTGCTTCATCACATATGGTATGGTTTATTGTTTGAAAATCATAGACAAGATGTTCTAGATTATCAAACAAGTGTACAATCCGCTCTTTACTCTTTTGGTTTTATTGTTAGAAAGAAAATGTGATCACAGTGTGACACGAGTCGCCGTTACACAAATCAAACATTGTCTGTTATGTTAGCGATAGGGAAGTTGCAAGGGATGCTGATGCCATTATCAACACTAGAATATGGAAAACCTTATGTAAACCACTCGCAAACAAGACTAACTCAAGAATGAAGGTGTAAGACACGTACGAACAAGGAACAATTGGAAAGACCGATGAGTCGAGCAAGCGACGGATACAAATGCCATAGGTCTCGAGCAGAGTTTATCGCGACAATACAACTGTAACAATATCATTGTATGCCAATCTTCTTGCGTTTCGGTTGTGATAGTTTTCCAACACGATTATGTGACTAACTATCACAACCGAAATATAAGAAGGTCGGCATGCAATGAACTCGTAACACTTGTCTTAACGCGATGAATTGCGGCGATGAAATCGCGTGAACTCTGCCCAATGCCATATGCGTAGCATTCGCGCTAACGCACCATTTTCGCTGCCTGCGTCGCGCGCGCCGCTTCAGCTCATGCCATCCGTGACCGATGCTGATTGACATAGACTATACACGTCAGGCTGCTCTATGTGAACATTACTTGATCTCTGCCGAGAGTTCGTAACAAAAATTTCCAAAAAGCAAAAGTCAGCTAGTAACAATCATCACTTAAAGCGCTTTATTGGAAAGCATTGGAGCTTTCAAACTTCAAATATGACACTTAAACCAAGCATCACCAAGATCGTCTATAAATCGCCATTCTGACTGATTGACGCTCAGTCAAAAACTGCGACGTTACTTCGGGAGCAACCAATAATGGCCAGTGTCATCAAGAGGAGACGGAGATTGCAATGGTTTGGGTACCATAATTCATTTCATGAGCGATAACCACCTGTTCACATGCCCCAATGTAGAGTTCTAGTGGAATTTGGCATGTTTACGGAGGGTATGAAAACTCCGATTCTTTACCTTCTTCCTTTTCAATACTTATTAGGTTGGCTCAAAAGTTCTCGGACATTTTCAGACGAGATCTTCTATTCTCGAAACCTAATGCGTGTACATCCGACAGAGGTACCGTTCGATAGACCAAAGCAAGTTCTACAAGATGGTATGCAAAAGTTCGGATTAGCTTCGACCTAGCGTAAGTTTGTATTAAAATCTGAATCGTTCCGAAGGCTCAAAAAAATGGGAAAATTTTCATATCTTCGTTCAAATATATCCTACGGATATCCAAATTGCTCAAGCACATTGCACACTACATCAGAACCATAGGTACCGTTCCTTAATTTTTCCTCATTCAAAAATCGAGAAAACAAAAGTTCTCATGCTCATACAAAAACGAAGCTACGCTGTTTCCACTCATGTAAATGAATGGTACAAGCCCTTGGAAGTATAAATTTTCAGCTTTCTACAGGCCCTAGTTTTCAAAAATTAGCAAATTGAGCTTTTCTCACACGGTGTTCCATGCTAAAATCAATATTTTTGAAAAGTAGGACTTGGGGAAAGCTAAAAATTTACGGTTATAAGGGCTTGTAGTACACAATTACATGGATGGAAACAGCAGAGCTTGTTTTTGTCTGAGCATGAAAATTTACGTTTTCTCAATTCCCAGATGAGGAAAATACAGCAATGTTACATATGGGTGTCTGATGTGGTATGCACTTTGTGCGAGCAAGTTGGAGATCCGTAGGATTTTTTGAACGAATGTATGAATTTTTCCCAATTTTTCGAGCCTTCAGTACGACTCAGATTCTGGATGAACTTACGGTGGGTCGAAGATAGTGCGAACTTTTGCAAAACATCTTGAGAGCTTGCTTTGGTCTATCAACCGGTACCTCTGTCGGATGTACACGCATTAGGTTTCGAGAATTAAGGGCCGGGCATACTTCACGCGATTTCAGTCGCGATGCGATTTGGCAATTCGCCAGACGTCTTCATATTTAACACTAGCTGGCTTACCCGGCTCCGCCGTATCCGGACCAAACTTGGCACACATACACTTCGGGCCCCGGCGCGTGTCACAGTCCACTTTTCGTTATCGATCGATGTCGATCTTACCGATTTTTATCGATTTTTTCGCAGAGTTCACCTACAGGGCTAGGAGTTGGCACAGGGGGGAAGTGAGCATGGGGATTCCGAATACAATATTAGTTTTCAGAATTATCGGTTACTTTTATTGATTTTATCGATTTTTTGTAAATTTTGACATGCGAGGCTGGGATTTTGCACAGGGGGGTAATCGAGCATGCTGATTACGAACACAATATTAGTTTTCAGGATCGTCCATTACTTTTATCGATTTTATCAATTTTTTTGTAAAGTTTGACCTGCGGGGCTGGGAGTTTGCAAAGGGGGGTAATCGAGCATGCAGATTACGAATACAATATTAGTTTTTGGAATTATCCATTACTTCTATCGATTTTATCGATTTTGCAAAATTTGAGCTAGGGGGCTGGAATTTGGCACAGGGGTGTTCGAGCATGCTGATCACCCCCCTTGGGGATGATCAGCATGCTCGATTACCCCCCTGTGCCAACTCCCAGCCCCCTAGCTCAAACTTTGCAAAAAATCGATAAAATCGATAAAAGTAATCGATAATCCCGAAAACCAATATTGTATTCGGAATCCCCATGCTCGATTACCCCCCTGCGCGAACTCCCAGCCCCGTAGCTCAAACTTTGCAAAAAAATCGATAAAATCGATAAAAGTAATCGATAATCCTGAAAACCAATATTGTATTCGGAATCCCCATGCTCGATTACCCCCCTGTGCCAACTCCCAGCCCCGTAGGTGAACTCAGCAAAAAAATCGATAAAAATCGATAAAATCGATATCGATCGATGACGAAAAGTAGCCTATGACACCCGCCGGGGCCCGTAGTGTATGTGTGCCAAGTTTGGTCCGGATCGGTTCAGAAATGGAATTTTCTATTCGGAACATACGTACACACAGACAGACAGACAGACAGACAGACAGACAGACATACAGACAAACAGACATTCAGCTTTATATATAAGATAAGCAAACTGCACATGCATAGTGTATATCACTTCCGTGGATTGATAAAACGCCCTATCTGCTGTACATTTTAAATGTGCTTAAAGTGAGTTATGGATAGTTGGAATATTGCCAAATCGCGTCGCGACCGAAATCACGTGAGGTATGCTCGGCCTTTTAAAAGATCTTGTCTGAAAATGTCCGAAAACTTTCGAGTCAACTAATACATGACATTCTGCTTATAGCGTATCGCGATGATCCAAATTTCAGAGATGGAAGTAGTAAGTTCTTTACTATGAGTGACTGAGCTACAACTCAAGTTTCAGTGTTGTTGACTTATGATGTTGAAAACATGCTGATAGCATTTATGGCTGTCATGACTGGATTTCTAATACTCGCTATAGTCATCATCTTTATCATACGTGTACACTACAGAGCAAAAGCTGATGAGCTGATACACGATTTGGAAATTCAGCATCAAACGAAGGCATCCAGTAAGTAATACTAGTTACTGATTTTAACGCATTGTTGCGAATGCTGCACTACTCCTGGAAATTTTGTTCTTTAAAAGGTAACCGCGCTTTTCAAATGTTAACTAAAATTATGTCCAAAAACTGCTTTACATTTGTCCCAAGAAGTAATATTATTAAGTGCATATTAAAGCATCTCACGATGTTTAAGAGTACGTATCTGGCGCACTTAGAAGGAAATTTTTTGAAAATTAGCGGGAGCCGTCGCTTTTCAAAAAAGTCGAATCACTGTGCTTTTTCTCTCATGTATTGCTTTCTGATCGATAATAGTGTACCGCCTTGTTGTAAGAGGCAAAACCGCAACTATTAATTCTTTTTGAAAAACTGAGTCTAAGGATGGCCGCCGATATTACTTACGAATATTGATTTCTCAATATCGGTAGTTCAACAACGTCTGCATGAGATATTTCCTCTCGTAGCATGAATTTTACTAACAATTGATTTTTTATTGAAAACAAAATGGCATTTGGGATTATCTTTTTAGAGCCTTGGAAATCCTAAAGTTAAAAACTTGGCGAGTTTTTGGCAGCATAAGAAAAGCACTTAAGGTGCGCGATTCGTCTAAGAAAAGCACTCTTTATGAAAAAATGTCTAAAATTGCGCTGAAAATGCATACTATTTTACACTAACCAAATTCTGCCTTGTATTTCCCGCACTTTTCTCCTGACCGAATAATCACCGAATTTCAATCATAACTTAGCTAAGCCCGCTCTGTTGTCTTTGTTCAACCTTTAGTCGAAACAACATTTCCGTGTGACAATGTAATTATTGCGAAGGAGAACTCTCTACAAAATCAGTTCGGCAAACAAATTGTTTGAGACACACAGCTGCGACGAACTCCCCAGAATGACATAAGCCTAACCATATAGTAGATTCCAAATTTTGCAGCACATGCACACATTTAGGATACAAACTATAAATAGAATGTTGCTGAAGGAATGGCAATTTGCAGGATACAAATCTCCGTTTGCAAGCCAACTTAAAAAACTTGAGCCAGATAGCGATGAATATATCCCGGCAGCAAAAGTCCATGATGAAGACCAATGCCTCTACTGGAAGGGCGAACAGGTGAGCTTCCTGGGAATATTTGTCAATTCGGCATGCTTTGAGACCTTTAAATCTATAGCAAAGTTGTGATATGTACTTCTAGCCCAATAATAGCATTATGCAGAATCTTAAGCATTACAAATCACCAAAAGCTGAAAAAGGGATGTGATTTTTCAGCTTGTAAAAAGCTGAAAAATCACACCCATGCTAGTTCTGTGGTATGTAATTGTCAGTGACCGAACATCTCAGCATTGTTTTGGAAAAATGAAAAACTTCTTTTCCCAATTTCTAGCTGAGAGAAAAATACAGCAATTGCATAGAGAAGTGCCTCATATAAAATGCTAATGCATGAGCAAGTTAAAATGTTTCAAGAATTTTTGAAACTTCCAGTTTTTTCCTGGTTTTATGGGGTGCCAAGATCTTTTTCGTTTTTGGCTTCAATCTTCACTTGGATCAAAGCTGCTGCAAAACTTTGAGCACTATCTTGTAGAGCTAGCTTTGCTCTATCAAAAATATATCAGATTATTTAAGATGTAGAAGAAGTATGTATTAGCGGTCTGTACCTACTTTATTGCTGGAATTATGCATCAACTTAGTATAATAGAGTTTTAACAACTTTGGCTTCCAAGCGATCGTAACTTCATTCAGAAAAAAATTACACTTTTAAGGAAAGCAGATTCAAAAAAAGCGATTGAGAATGCGATATACATGTGCGTCTCTTTCCAAATAGCCACATCTTTGTAATCTTTCCTTATAATCATTGGAGTGAAGTGATGAGCAATAATGACCGCTGTAGTTTCAATATTTATCTATAGCTGCTATAGCCGAATTCTTATGTGTAGTTCACCAATAATGAGTTGCTGAAGTTACAGCAATTTCAACTCCAAACTTGTTTTACTCGTTCTCAAAGGGTTATTTCGCTACCTTCAAAAATTATCAGGCTAAAATATTCTCCAACGAAATGCTTTTTTCTTGTGCACTGCTCCCTCTCTATTCGATACTGTATGGCAAAGATTAGTCAGATTAAGAGTGGTCAATTTAGGTCAGATTAAGAGTGCGGCTCAGAGAAATTGCTGAGGATTTTTTCTACAATTGAAGTGTACATTCCACTAAATTCACTGCATTTAAGAGATTAGAAAGGTCGCAACTTAATGCTGTGATTTGTGGACATATTCTCACTGACTAAAAAAAAGGAAAAATGGGAAGTTGTTTTCAATAAGTTTGTCTTAACGAATGCAATGTGCAAAGATCTACATACTTCAGTTTTTCTCATCGTTTTCGCTTTTTTGCTCTTTCCCAAAATATGTCGGTCTATGAGTCCAAGAAGCCAATTCCAAAGACCAAACGTCCACTGGAATAATTCGCTTTTGTCAAAATGGCTGGCAGAGTTGGATTCGATTCGTTCAGAAGAAAGAACAGTAATCTCATATGTAAACAGGCAGAGAGAACGCATGTTTGCTCATTTAGATTTTATTCAGAAAACTGAAAAGTTGCCAAAAAGTCTTTGCCTGAACCCATGTTCAAAAATATTGCTTTGGAACAACTCTTTTTCTGCGCATTCAGCAAGACCTAATTAGCGGTCCAACTTGTCTTTCAGTGCAGACATAGTGCGATATGTTGACTTAGGTATGCGGACTATGAGCATAGCTACAACGAATAACCAAATCAATAGGTTGAGGTCAAACATTTCGTGTTTACGTTGTAGCAGGTATTTGGAAGGTCCAAAATATATAGGCTGATCTGAGGCAAATATAGTGCTGCGGCAGTGCCCATATTCGCCGACAATTTGCTCGTGAACAAATTTCCGGAAGGACGCATTGCAGCAAAATTGTTCGCATCACAGACATTGCATATTGTTCACGCTTTGATGTCGGGAAATATCGGCACCGCAGAAATCTATGTTTACTGTCAGATCTACTAGATAACTGTGCAGTCAATCTCGTCTGAGGCAGCATCCATCCACATTTTTAGCTATCATGCTCACATCATATTTAAAATTCCATGGCTATTTTAGAATTTAAGACGCAAAAACACATAATCAGAAATAGTTGCGTGTGCACCGCGGTAATATAGGACGTTAGGCCTAAGGCATAACTCGTGCGATTCCGGTCGCTGCGCGATCTGGCACAACAGCGACTCTTCGTAATTCGTCCTTAATGCGCTGCCTTTGGTCAGAACTTGCTCTGTTTGCAAGAACTTACACAAGCTACCCAAATATGCGTCCGAGATGCGTTCTTTCCTGACTTGTCTCTATTCAAGTCCTTTTCAATTAGGTTAGAACGAAAGTTCTGTCGCACCACTTTCAAAAATCCATAACTTTTGAATTTTCCAACCGATATGACTGCTTTTATTTTCTTTTGAGAAAGTAAGTCATGTTTTTTATAACAACATTTTAGCTGCTTACTAATGATCATCTGTTGCATAGATAGGAGCGATAGAAGAAAATTGGTCAAAATTTGAATTTTCTGTGTAGGGTCATAAAAAATCGGAAACTTGCAACAAAAATCGGAGCAGGCGGTATTGTAGGTTCTTTCACCAGCTCTTCCTAACAGTGCAAAGTCTGCGCCGATTGAGTCTCTATGAAAAGCTATGATTTCCCTGAAAAATGCCAAAACAAATCAATTTCGCCCTTTTCTATTGCTTACTCGAAAATCATAACTTTTCATAGAAATGCTCAATCGGCGCAAACTTTAAACAGTTAGAAAGAGCTGGTGAAAGTACCTACAATGCCGACTGCTCCGATTTTTGTTGCAAGTTTTTGATTTTTTATGACCCTACACAGAAAATTCGAATTTTGACTAATTTTATTCTTCCGCTCCTATCTATGCAACATGATCATTAGCAAGTAGCTAAAATGTCATTATAAAGAGCGTGACTTACCCTTTCATATGAAAATAAAAGCGGTCAATCCGGTCGGAAAAATCAAACGTTATGAATTTTTGAAAATGGTGCGACAGAACTTTCGTGCCAACCTAAAACTTGCATAACAGCCGTTAGATACTTGAAATGGCTGAGCTGAGCAAAGTGCCACTTTCTTTAGATGTTTCACGTGCAAGGTCTGAGAGTGTGCAGAGTCCGCAATCGATTTGTCAATGACTTTACAAGCTTTTGGCGCCTTTCATCATAAAAAATTGGTTGAGACATAGTCTATTACTAGCGCGGATGACATATCAAATACTCAAGTATTTCAGAAAGAGAATCTTTTTTCGAGTGTAACCGCTACCACACTCGTAATCTGCATGCCAAATACTCCCATATACAAGGTTTGAAGCAAATTTGGAGTATTTGTCCGTGTAACCTCCCTAACCTGGTGCTCTCAAGCAAAGCAGTAATAATATTTCTTATCATCTTCTCAATGACCCTTCTGAGCGAAACTGAAAAAATTCGCCATGCTGGCCTTTTGGTTCTGTAATGTGGACATCACTGAAACTAACTTTTGAAATGATGGAAAATATCAAACCATTGGTGGTTCCTGGGTACTGAGTAACCAAGATAAATAAGATGATTAATTCAGATGTAGTAAGCGTAATGCCCTTAAAATAAGCAGTTCTGCTACTCCATGTATTACTTTCGATGAAAATGCACCACACAATAGCGAAAGTTGTGTAAAGAAAGCACGCAATAAAACATTCATTAAAACATATAAACATGAGAAGAAGAGATCTGGAAAGGATTAGCGATACGAAGAAGATTAACAAAAGCCAATGTAAGGCAAGGAATTCTCTCGATCCTCACAAATTGCAGGTCTACTTTTTCCTGTTGATAACATTATTAGAGAACCGGATCAACGCGGATGCTGCACTTTTCGAGCCTGCTACACTACACGTGAATTTTGGGTTATAATGAGAACTAATGGAAACTTCATTAATGTCCTATTCTAGGCAACTTCTTCCAAAGAGACAAAGCTCGAAAGCGCTTTTTTTCATTAACGGTAGAAATGAGTTTGGAGAGTGCGCCAATAGCACGTAGCTCAAGTCAAAAAATTTCACAAATCAGAATCCCCAGTAGCACGGCATAAAATCCTTGAAACCCTGCTATATTTGCTGTAATGTTATTGATATAAAGTCGACTGCCGGAAGATGACAAAGTCATTGGAATGGAAATCTCTGCGCGCGGGGCGTGCAGCTACTTTTGTGTGGAATTCATGGCAGCAGTTTTGCTAAAAATGATTCGTTCATCTTTCGGCATTAACTATACGGACGTTAACTTACGACAGACTTTTTCTTTGGTCATTGATCTACCCCACGCAATGGATAAACCTGAAAGTCGACTCCTTAAAAAGCCGCAGACACACTTCCCTATAGCGTGGGTATGTATGCTATTGTTGACACTGTGGGCAGCGATAGATGAGCAACACAGTGCATGGGACAAGTAAAAACTTTAACTTTGCGTGTAACACTGTTAGTCATCATATTTACTTTACTTCAAAGAGATAATAAGCATAGTTTGCCATTTCAGGAACACGTTCCTCTGGGCAGAAATCAGCTCTAGAAACTAATTGAACGAGCATACAATGAACATAATGTTAATCCGCATAAAACTCATGCTATGAGCGTGTGGATGACTTTTAATGGAAGTACCGCACCAAAAGCTCCGTGTCAGATTCTAAAAAGATGCATTGATGAATTGCTTTAAAGGCACCGTCCACCCTAAGTTGAGGATGTTGAGCTTTTGGCAGCATATAATAGTAGGGTCCCCCTACCAATCCAATGCCCAAGTCGCCGCGCAAAATGCCCTTCGGAAGCGAGAAATTGCTTAGGAATAACGAAGATGCACGAGGACCCCCATCCATGCCCGCCCATTTGTGTGCGCCCATCCACTCACCGTTCCGGAAAGCCGGCCTGTGGGTTCTCCGGAAAAGGGATTGTCGGGGTTTTCGCGCATCTCGACTTCATATTCGGAATCAGGGACACGAGAAGGCCCTGAAACGACAAAAACGTGGAAGTCGAAAATCTGGGTGGACAGTGCTTTTAAAGCTTTGCCTAGAGTCCCTTTTCGTCTTTTCGCTTTGTGTTTTTGAAAGATATGTAGTTTCTGTAAGTGTAAGAAGTTTCCCTGCACCACGCAAAATCTTCAAGCGCTCTCTTCAATGTAAACAAGCTGTCAGCCAACCCCCATTTTCATACATTTTTTAGGTTTAGGTCTCTGGTTTAGCACTTCACAGCATTGTTGTTGCGCCTTCAGCATTCTCGAGCACTAGGGTTAAGGTATCTTCAAGTTTCGGAAGATACCGAGAGTTTCCAATAAATATTTAAGCTGTAATTTTTGTGATCTTGCAAACGTGTAAGATCACAAAAAAACAGATCTTTTTGCAAAAATACTTATCAAGAATTTAGCTTTTAGGGGACTTATCTGTAGATACTCATCTACTAGTTATTGTATACTATATGATGAACAACTGCTTCGTCAAAATTCAGTTTGCATTAGAGATAAGCTTTAGAGTTCGTACATGATCCAGTGGCGATGACCATTAAAAGACTTCTCTCCATTTTCGAAAAATTTTAATGTTGGAAAAATCTTCCGCCGCGTTGTTGACGGATCCAAAACACACTATCCTATTCCGCTTCCCGTGTAAATGCAGAGAGTTTTGACTTTTGCGATGACCTGATTTGAAAAAAAAACTATACTATAAACATTTTATCAAAAATATAACGTAGGTCTCAATATAGCTGTGTAATAATGCAAGCAAATTTTGAAGAAAGGTGCTAATTTTCTTTTAGTTTTTGCTACACTTGAAAAAGAGGTAATGAGATGCGCAAAAAACGTATCTAATTCGTTTGACCTTTTCCTGTCGGTTCACCAAGGTTTCAATGGCCAGAGCAAACAGTGTGAACGTGCAGAAATTCACGGAAGAAACTTAGGCTTAGCAACTTCTCGAAAGGATTTATCTCTTTCTCTTCTGCAGATAGCTGCGATACTGCACCATGCTGCTTTGGCCCCGATAATGCCACCACCTGACACTCCAGAGGACAACGTTCGCATTTCGAATGTCAACAATAGTAAGTTCACAATGCAGAGACAGTTTAGCACAATGCGATGATTGTTTGGAAAAGTCAAAATCCAGTTGCAGTAAAATGAGCTACGGTGCAAAATGTGCAGAGGAAATGCTTTGCAGTGATCGTTGATGATACGTCGTTCTGTACATTATTTTAATAAAATTCCTTTCGGTGTTTCATTTTTTTCATGTACTCAACGCAAGCTTTTAGATGGGTCAATCTGCAAAAACTGCATTAGATAGGTATTTTCTCCAAAGAATCTCATACGCAGTAAAAACAAATTGAAGCAATGATAAAATTAAAAGTAGTGTAGACTTCCATTGATCTCATCGGCAATGTGGGAGGGCGTATGAATTGTAAACATAAAAAGAATGTTCAACGATGTTTGACTGTCCTCATACAAAACATTGGCAAAGGTGTATGTGAAAATTTTCTGAACCAATGAGGTCTACCCCCCCCCCCTTCCCTCCACTAAGACTATACAGTGTGTGATTGTACGTGCTCGGTTGGCCTAGAGATCTGAGTGATAATAGTGTATACGTATGAAAAACCGAAAAGACCTCTCAATTCACCATTGGTTGCAGGATAAAAATAACACATTCAAATGTTCTATCACTAGATTGTTGAACTTTTGAACTCGACCTAAAAATTTCACATCAAGAATGATGGGCCAATATAAAATCGCTCGGAGTTTCAGTCCGCTCCAGTCTGATTGATGTCAAAGGCAAGTTAATGGCTTTGACAATTTATGCTATACTACATAGTCGACGAGCTGAGTTCCGAATCAGTAATCAGTAACATCTTTTTGGATCATTTTTTGCGAACTATCCCAAGGACCACTTAGCAAAATGTAATGTAAGTGGAAGCTGATTGAGATCAAAGTGCTCCTGCCGAGCACGCATAGGGTAACCCATGCTGTGGTCCCCTTTTGGAAAAGCTTGAAAGGCTTTCGCACCATGAATTATGTAGTTGGATAAGTAAACTAAATGTGCCGTTTTCTTGGATCTACTTAACTATAAAGACGCCATTTTTGTTCTCTCTTTCAGTTTTTTTTGCACTAACCACGCTCGTCAGTGTCACTGATTGCATAATTGAATCAAAATAAAAAATAAAGTTGCGATGAATATTTGCAAAGAAAAAGTTCACCCACACGAAGTTGAGCAACGAAAATCTCCGTAATCCATTAGCAAAACCGGGTTTAACTCGAGCGGCTGCTCGCTACTTATAGTTTCCACATTCATTACCAAGACCAGACTTCAGTGAAACTACAAACACATAAGTTTCTTTTTAGTCATAGCTCTGATCTTAGGTTAGCGTGGGTGAACGCACTCAAGCACACGATTGAAAAGCGATCAGCACCACTTACATTTACGGTTTGTACGCGCTTATGAGTCAGGGGAATGTTTGAACGTGACCGTGGAACTTCGTCGTTCGCAACACGCGATACTCATACCACAGTGCCCGCGATTCCAAAGAACACCACGCTGCGCGCTTTTTCCGCCCTTCCGTGGTCCGCGCGCTTACCCCGCTAACGCGCAGAATCAACCGGTTACCTCTCAACCCCTGCTTTGGACGGAGGTACCGTATCGCGTACTCCCTCACCCCATCCACGACGAACACGGGCCGATCCTCGACCACCACCGCCGCCCCCTCGCGCCTCCTAATCAGCTTTCGCATTTCCGCGACACGCCCAACGTCAAGTAACTATTTGTCGCTATTTAAGCGACCGCACAGCGTTTCCATGCAAGACTTTAGTATCCGCAATTGCGCGTCAACTCCTACCAATCAACTCTTATCCGATGCATCTCGATTCTAATGTTTGGAGACTTGAAAGCTCTCTTTTTATGATTGTTCAACAGTCATTTCTTTTGGTTATCAAATCCGTCAATTTGAATGTCTTTGACAAGAAAAAAGTGAAGTGTTCGTTTCCTTTGACATCCGTGACATCTTTGATATCAATCTAGTCGTTGAGTTCAAAAGTCGAGTTTTTAATCCATGGTTGCGATCAAAGCCTTGAATCGCTGAATGTAAATAGTTTGCAAGAGTGTCTCCTTCGATTGTAATTCATACAGCTATCAGCTACCAATATTTTCTATCTACATCTATGCAGACGCTAAGACCATTCATACTGACCACTCCCAAATTCTATTTTTCTCAGATTAACATAATCGTGAGTCATTTGTAACTTAATAATTACTAAAGTAAAAAGTTACAAAGTAGCTAAATAAGTTACTTTGTAACTTTTCCTCTAGATTAACATAATCTTGAGTCATTTGTAACTCAATATGTGAGATTGCACGCTAAGCCCTATTAGCGACTGCACCCTTACTAGTAACTTTCCAGTAAAACATTTTCTAGCCTAATAAAATATAGAAATGTATTCTACTGACTAACACATAACCAACAAAAACAAAACAAGGAGAAATCACTGGAAATGAGCAGATTCTAATTTTGCAGTCCGTCAAATAGCGTGTATAGTGTGCACTACGCATATTTACAAATGACTTAACGACAGGTATGATGCCAAATAACTAGCAACGAATATGAATCCGGACGAATTGCAACAATTCTAGAAAATAATTTCCGAAATCAAACTTCAAACCTAAAGCCCTTTATCGGTATTACGGAAATTCATAAAATTTTTCTAGAAACAATCATTTGAGAATTATTGGGATGAACTATAGTCTGGTAAATTTGGAAGGTGATGTTATCGTGCCCAACAACACCTGCGCGGAAAAAAATGGCCAAATTAGGTAGAATATTGTTCTCGTAGTTTTTGCAGAAGCATTAAGAAGTAGTCCGTTGTTTTATCTTATGAATATCACTCCTTATTTTTAGACGTGCATCAGTATAATTCAGACATCTTGCAAGAACAGAAAATTTTTCATTTTTTCATATTAATTACCCCAAAAACTCACAGATAGGGCTTTCCTCACATAAATCCGTCTGCAGATAAGTTCTGACTTATCTGATGGTCTTCATACTATCTGGCTATATTTTGGGGTAGTTACGGTGAAAAAAAGGATTTAGCTGTAGGGTGAGACTATCTGAGTTAGAAGCGGTCTTATCTGTAAGATTTTAGGGTTGCTTGCCCTGCAATCGGATATATCCTGCAAGGCTTATAATAATAGGTTGAAAGGCGATTGGCGCCACTGTGGCTGTCCTTTTCTATTATGATCCTCGAAATCGCTAGCCTCCCCAATAATTTTACGACAATTGCCAGCACTTTGGATCGTAATTACCTTTGCGTCCCATATATACCCCCACCCTGTAAGCCGGTACAGAGTCTGGCGACTACAAATTGATCCATACACACACAAACAGACAGTCGCCACAGTTTCCGCTTCAGTTCACCCGGCACACCGAGTCATTTTTGCCGGCAAAAACTGGCACATCAATCGTCATGGCCCTATTTTGAGTTATGTTCGCAATGAAACGTGAAATCGTACAATCCGGTCTCAGCTCGGATCCGTTTTTTATAGGATGGCACCGAATCGAATCCATCTTTTGTACTGTCAATTAATAATGCGATTAAGTTGGTGGTCGCCATTGACGGATGAGTTTGGAATTTTGTCGAAAAATTCTGTATAAATCTGTCGCAAAGGACTTGATTGATGTTCAAACCTGGGTTGCAAACCGCATGTGAATCTTCTTCAAATGAATTCTTATTGATGTGATTCATTTAGTGTTTGAATAAAGCGTTGCAGAGTAATGACATGAGATTTTTTCCTTGTCAAAATCATTTGTTAATCATGAATTTATTCCTGTGTTCACTGAGACATTACTAGAGGCTTTAACCTCCTGCGCTGACCCAACGAAAATGCATTTGAAAGTTCTTTTTGTTTTCTTCTTTTTCTGAGTATACGTATCTGTAACGTGCAGGAGTTAATTTCTGCTCGATTTCCTTCGCATTTCTGAATCCGTTTCGCCCCCCGTTTGTAATTATTGTAATTAGCAACAAGGAGCCATGGGTCCCGTGCGGAAGGTGTGAACCCCTATTGCAAATGTGCCCACTGTACCCAACCCTCCATTCACTGCTTCTGCTCGAGCGAACCTTACTGTAGCGTTTTGAAATTTTTTACCATATTTTATTTCTATAGATTATGGCTCCGCTCGCGTCCATCCCAGACTTTGGTCTAAACACTGATGACGTTCGCTACCTCAGCGTTGAATCCATGGTTAGGGGTCGAGGACCGGAACGTCTGAGATATTTGGACCTAGAAGGTTGGTCGCTTTTCCCTACCTGTATGAAAAGTGCAAATCACAACTTTTGCAGGGCACTGGACGTTGAGCGGTAAGAGTGTTCCCTACATATCGCAGACATTTAACCATCTTGAACATCTGAACGAAGCAAGGATTCCATTTAGGGTAAGGCTCATCTTTGTTCTGTCAAACGTTAGATGCGAAATATGGCGAGAACAAGTTAGGAGCGGGATAATTTGATTTTCTTGTGGTTTTTTTTTTATTCTCACACATGCGGTAAACCTTTTGACTGAAGTAAGTTGTCGTTATAATTCAATGTCACCCCAAAAAAGGACTAAACTCTTCAACTTGAGCGAAGAACAATTTAGTGCGAGTCTTTATAAATTTTACCGCAGGAATGAAAAAGTGATGCCGTAATAAATCTCACAACAGAATGTTAGTTCAATATGAACTAGACGCAAAAAAAACCCGACAAGGTAATCTGTAGTTGGAAAAACTCAGGAATTTATCGAACAACCAATCAATGCCATCGGAATGATCGGATGGACACCCTCTTCTGAAGCGACCAAAGGTTCTATCACCCTTCAACTATCTATCAGTTTGAGCTGATTTCCGCAATGATTTAGTAGATTCTGGCGAAAGAAGGACACCCTCAAGGGTCAAACTTCCGGTGCCCACGGTAATAGAAGAAGAACTTCCGCCTAGTCCACGCGAAGATGTTCCTCATCGCTCGGCTGGTTACGGTAATCAATCCATGCTTTTTGCGTTACTCGTCTAAAGAAAACGCTATAGGACCCGCTCATCAAAAACGCAAGCTGTCGATTCCGGACCGTAGCAGGAGCACGTCGCCACATCGCGCCGAGTCGCCGATTCCGACGTACGATCGCTACGCGAAGTATGAACGGAACAGAGCAGGTGACTTGCAGAAATCCTTAGAAAACGCAGAACCGTTCTCGTACGTGCCCCATATCAAGTGGTACGGTATGCTATGGCATTTGATAGAAGAGAAAATCACCTACATAAGGGTTGAGGAGACCGAATACTACATCGATTGATTTTTTGATAAACAATTTTTTACGCAAACCTTAGAATTGTGATGAATACCACTCCTCGCAGACTCGTTCACTCGTTACGGCACCAAGTGGGGTGCGGACGCGGCGTCGAAAGCCGAATCTCCTTCACCGAAGGAGTACTCAGATTTCCGTCCACCACATAGAACTCCGGCACTAAGCCCGAGGATAAGTAGCCCATTGCCGAGTCGTAATATCGTCAATATGTACAGCAGCAGCCGAGGCAAGACTACCCCTCTGACACATCTATTCCACACTTGCACCTAACCCTAACCCATGAATTGGCGCGAGGTAAGAAATTGTTCAACGAACCAGCTATGCAGCAGTACATGCTCAACCATCTTGCAGAAGGGCGCGGAATGCAAAAACTGATTTTTTTATACCGTGGTGCTAAAAGAGTGGTTCGTTTACAGCGCGCAGAAAACGGTATTTCACTGATTTGTGTATGTACACAAAGAGAAGTAGAAACCAATTATGAAATCTCTATGAAATCTCACGTGAATGGAGCGTTTTCAGAATTTTGAGGGCAAATTTTAATCCTAGTAAAAACGTTTCGGAAAGGTTTCTTTGGGTCCGATTAGCAAGACAATTTTTCTGAAAGGAAGTCGCACTTCAGTGAAAACGATGCGGTTAAAGGCTGTCTCAATGGCAGTGTCTACTTTTAGCGGCCATCGCAACCGTCTCGCACTGCTTTGCGCCACTTCGCCAACGCATCCTCTGAGCAGTTGCCTTCAGTCGCCACTCAGAAGTGGGAAAATGCTCAGAGGGAATGTCCGCAAATGCGACGCAAGGCCAAGTGAGGCGGCGTGACCCGAACAGTTGGAGCCTTTACACTGTCATTGAAATAATAGTTTCCAAGCGAAATCATAATACTATAGCATTTTCTTCGGGAAAGATCCAATTTCTCACCTCGTGCCTTAGCTTGACCTAACCCCACTTACGATAATCATTGCTCAGTGATCAGACTGACTCCTTCAAAGAAAGCAGTTGACATTGTCAGCAAAAAGAACTTGCTTTTGTTTGCGAATTAGTTATGATCTTTATAGTTTTTCTTTAAAATTCTGTCTTGGATATACTGATAGCCTACGTACTTTTATTTCTCACTTTATCAAAAACGTTTTTTTAATAGCAAGCTTTCTGACCTAAGATTCCCTCATTTTTTGCGAATTACAATGTCTCAAACCGACATTTTCACTACTACCCTTACGCTTCGCAGGTTTCAACTTTTCAATCAAGGATCAGAATCAAAGCATATTGCTCTAGTAGCATCCGTGATGCATTTATGAAACTCTACTAGCTCATAAAGAGTAGTTAACAGGGCTTTTGCTTGGGGTCTCATTCTCGAACTGCGGTATGCCCTTCAATGCTTATTAGCCTTCACGTATCTCCACTTCTCAGAGTGTCTGCTAGAAAAAGCTTCTGCTGAAATTGTGTAGTTTCTCTTGCCTAATTTTCCAGAAAGCCTTTGATGTCAACTCTTCTTCGAAACACCTAATCGCGTCAAAGTTAAGAACTTGTTCAGCCTTTTTTATCAGAACACTAATACTCTCCTAGTCGATTTCCACTTTCCAAGTTGAAAATGCATAAAGCAAAACTCGGATAATAATTCAATTATCTCGAAAGCAGTCATGTTATGGTATTTGAAAAGTTATTGCTCTTTTTTGCGGGTTTTGGGGTAACGAGGCGCAGGATAAGTTACATTTTTGAGGATCTTTTTTTGCCATCGCAACACAGCCCACAAAGAACGACTTGTTTGCTCATTTGGGAACAGAACGCTAATGGTAACAAAAAGAGTTCTTTATATAACCCTGCGCTCATGAGGAAAGATTTTAGTAGCAAAGTTTGCGCGAAAAACGCTTGAGCGCGGCTATCTAATTGCGGAAAAGCTTACGGAGTTAAATACTTGGCGAAAGAGCAGCGCATAGCAAATAGTCCACGTTAACGTAGTGAGCAAAAGCGTAACAGTAGTTCAGCAAACACTAAGTGAACGTGCGTTTGTGTAGAGTTGATGAATGCAGCGAGTCGAGTTTCAGCGGTTTTCAGTTTGCCTAAGAAGCGCGGTTTTTTTGCCGTTATGTGCCCAGAGTATTTGGCCTCTATGGAGAGAAAAGTCGCCGAAGTTTACCGAACTACTGTCCAAACGCTAAGAAACTGTATGGGAGTTGCCTCAAACAATTGAGGGAATTTCCATAAAAAACTGCATCATTTTTACATTTTATCCAGATTTACGCATGATCCATTTATTTTTAACGGCGAAAAGAATTAATAGTATTTTTGAGATTTTTTGATGCGGATGTATCTGTTTGACTACGTACCTAAAGTTTTTATGTCATAAAATTTTATCAGGAATTTTGCAAAAGCTTTCTCACATTGATTTCAAAACTCTAGGCATTGGTTTGAGTAATTCAGCACATTTTTCTGCAAAGTAAGAATGAAAGAGTTCTTTGCAACTAATCGTTAGAGATACTTAGAAAATAGTAAACATATTTTGCTAATAAAAATCTCCGTACAATCCCTCCCCTCTGCCCCTCCTCTCCTTTAGGGTAAACCATTGACACGCTTTGCTTTGAGCTTGATTGTTAAACTAAAACGAATTCGCCCGTATCACTCTTCAAAAATCAAGTGCTCTCTTGTGTGAACATAGAAAAGTTTTTGTATCTTTGCTTGAGCACCTTTCTGAATTGCTTATGCTTGTCTGCTTTAAATTTTTTAATCTCAGAAACATGCTTCAAAACCAAAATGGTTTTTTCATTTGAGAGTGTCAGGTGCAAGACTGACAACCCCATATTTTTGAATTTGCTTCTCACAGAATGCGGAAGTTAAAAGGAACAAAAGGAAGAACCCCCCTGTCAGTAACATCACACAACTAATACTTCCTATTTCTTTCTCTACCGCATTAGTGACATATGCTCCTAAATTTTAGTGTCGACACCTTACAAGGAGGAACTGAGAGTGCTGACCAGAGAACAGAAGCAAGGTTACGTTCCATACAGAAGTGGAGGCTACGGTGCTTACCATGAGAAAAGACAGTATGAGCTTTCGCCACGTTCAATCGGATCTTTGGGAGATTACACCAGCGCGTAAGTGAAGCAGAATCACTGAACGAAACCCTAAATACTAACTGAATTTACAGTTCCGAGCAGTCTTCCCCGGCATCAATGTACGCAGAGAGAAATCCTGACGAGATCGTAATGATGGAGTATCACTCGAGAAGGACCACTGGCACATCGCCAAGAAGCACTTGGGTGCACTAGTCTAACACCACCATCAGCTTCCCGAACATTTTTTTATCAAAGCTTCCTTAGCCTAGCCCCCTCCCCCCTCCCCATTCCTCGCATTCCCCCTTCCGCTCGGAACAATTGTTACCGCCATACGCTAAGCTGCCTGTGCTCGAGACAAACAAAGTTAAACAATACCTATTTTCTCGCTATAGACATGTAAACATGTTTTATGTAAATAACTTTTCTTCGAAAAGAAGAAATCGCGTGTTGGTGTTACGCGAAACCTGTATTTTGCTTCACCGCTGCTTTTTTTCAAAAAATAAATATCTAGCTGCATATCTCAAGATTCTTTGGCCATGCAGTAAAACAAATATCATAGCCACACCTGTGATAACGAATGGAACAGCTAAAAGAAAGATGACACGAGATCATTTCTACATGCAAAGCTCCGCTGTTGTCAATGAACTGGTCATTCTAAGTTTTTATCCAAAATATAAGAAAAAAAGTGCATTTGTGAGATAATGCAGGCAGGACAAGCATGCAAGACGCTACTTATTATTAGTAGAAAGCGAATAATGTGCTAGCTTGTTTTGCTAGTGCTTCTGATCCAATTTTAGCGGAAATTGTGATTTAAAGGGTGTCCAAAAGTATGCATACACTGTTTATTCGTTTATATCTATCTTCCAAAAAAGTCATTTGTCTACGTTTACGTACGTACCTCCGTGAAGCCGTTTTCACCTTACGATTGATGTACAATATGGAGAGAAGCATCAGTCTTTATTCGTTACTGTAAGACTAGTGAACCAGTTATCTACAGGTGCAAGATCTGGGAACGTTCGCTTGACCCGCCGCGACTTCTTGACATTGGAAGATATTCGAATTGAGCTAACGATTCTTTATATGTTAGATCACGGTAGGAACTTGGAGGTTCTGAGCCAGTAAAGGCCGTTATTTATCCCTAGATATCCCTAAATGAAACAGAAAAGCTGAAAATCCCTACATTAGCTTAATCAGAGTCGCTGATCTCAATTATGAAATTCGCATTTCACCACGTCACCTTCTTCTATAAGTTATGTTAGATATACCGTGATAACCATTTGAATGTTCATCAAAAATTTGATCACATTGAATCTACACGACAACTCACTAGTTTTCAGGCTTCTCAAATTTGGTGAATTTGAGACGCTTTGAAGACTAGTGAATCATTATGTAGTATCATTGTGCCTGAAAACCTCGTTAGAACTTTCCAAATTTTTTTAGAATCTTTCCTGCAAAAGGTCTATCACATAGTGGCGCCATTTGCAGGGAGTTCCTGGCGTAAACCTAGTGAAAAGCTAACAGCTTTCCACTGTAAATCCAAACTGGAGCCAAGTCTACAAAATGATACCTGAAAGTAAGCAAAAAGCTTCTTGGGAAGAGAGGTATATAAACAATCAAGCAGTGTATACAATGGGACAACTGTACGTACTGTCGAGTAGATTTTCCGCTTGATAGAATGTGCTTGCAGTGCCGAGAAAATGCGATAAAATTTGCGCGTGACAAATAGCCATGTCTGCGAGGGACCGTAGATTCGCCCGCAGGAACCATTACTTTTGGATTGGAGCAGGAATCCTCCGTAGAGCACATTATCCTTCCAACACTGATTTTGAGGATGCGCTTGCCAGATAACTCAGTGTTGCGTCTTGCAACTCTATTACTGCAACTCTAATCTCCGTATCAAGCTTGCCGAGCCACTTTCTTTGAAAGCGGCGTCCAGGCAAATCTGGACAAATGGGTATCGCCAGCGGAAACTGATTTTGGGAAACCGCGCAGACTTACAGCATAAGATGAGTTACTCAAGCTCTAAGTTTCCATTACTATCAGCATCAAGTACAAAATTCTTCGTTAATGCGGTTTGAATTTGTACATAAAAGTTTGATTTGCCTTTTCCTCTTCTCTTTAGTAAATATCACTTTTTCGATCTGGACAACCGTCTCCTTTCAGCTTCAGTGAATGCCTTGACTATTGGGGAGTCTGCCTATAAGCGAAATTCTTGCAAAAAAGGCGGCACTAGGAAACTGATTTGTATCGTCGACTCCACGATTCGTGTAGAGGCGGAGTTTTGCCAACTCAAAGCGTGCGGTTTTTGATAGCGAGAGAGTGCGAAGAACAATGCTATGAGTAGAGGTTTAACAAGTTCATCCTTAAAATCAAGGAAAGTCCGCAACCCGCCTCTACACGAATCGTGGAGACGATCATACCAGCTTCTTAACATCGTAGTTTGTCTCTGATTGTGAATGTTGCGCACTGATCAGCGGTTGATCGTCGTTTTCTTGCCGTGACTTCTCGAGAGCGGCCAAGATTTGTTCTTTTGTGCTTTTATCAAAGTGAATCGCTGTGTTGAGAAAATTTCAGGTACGAAGGTAAGGAGATAAATTAATATTAACCATGTTGACAGCTTATTGTAGAGGTTGTTATTCTTTTTAATGATATGCACATGCCTAGTTTACAGTGTATGAGCATAAATGGCCTTCGCTCTTGAGAAGTGGTTGTTTTTTCAGCTCCGTCAAATTTGTACAGCCCTCTTCAAAAAGACATGAAGGCAAGAGAGTTATTAACGATCATACAGTGTGCACAATGTTTTGGGATACGCCATAGATTTTTGTCACCATACATCATGCTGCTTGGACCTGAAAGGCTAATTCAAGTATCAGATGCATAGAGCTTTCCTCAGAAATGTAACGAGGAAAAAGACCACTGAACTTCATTTTTCAAAGCTCGCCAAGAATATAAGTTTGCAAATCTGAAATGCTGATGCTTAGGTTTTACGACTTAGTTTGTCGAAAATGTAGGCACCATTAACCGAGACCTTTGCAATTAGAATTGCAAAGTCACCTTCAACAAACTTGAACTATGACTCCAGTTTTCATGTCAGCCCTTGCAGTGTTTCAGATTTACAAGAACATGATAAAATGACAAAAGGAGAATGATTCTACAATAGGCCTGAATGATTCAAGTAAATCTGAAATACTACAAAGCAAATCATGGCAGAGCTTGACACTGTGAAATGTTCTCCTTTTCGGAGCAATAAGGCGCTGCGATGAATTTTTTGTTCCGCATGCTTTACTTTATGCATTTAACTGCGATGCCCTCATGAAATCAGTCTTTGTTCCACGTTTACTGGAAGATAGTTTGATAATGTACACAACTTGCACAAATTTGTTGCCAATTCAAATATTCTCGGATAGATTTCTGTTGCCAAGCATGGCACTAGAAGAAGTCCGCTCAAATGACAGATGCGGCAAGAGCGTCTGCAAAAAAAGTCTCAGCCGTAATTGAGTACATTCGAGCGCAAAAGCTTCACTGATATATCAGTGCATGTCACGACCGAAAGTGGCTCGACAAGCTTGATACGGAGATTAGAGTTGCAGTAGTAGAGTTGCAAGACGCAACATTGAGTTATTTGGCAAGCGCATCCTCAAATTCAGCGTTGAAAGAGTAAAGTGCTCTACGGAGGATTCCTGCTCCAATCCAAAAGTAATGGTTCCTGCGGGCGAATCTACGGTCCCTCCATGTCTGCAATGTTCGCCACTTGCACACGCAAAATGCCGCCATCACTGGCGTGGCTAATAATTCACGCGCAAATGTTGCCGCATTTTCTGGGCACTGCTAGCATACTATATTGAGCTGAAAATCTACTCGACTGTTTATCGCACATTTCGCTTCCAAAGCTGAAGGTCAGTGGACTAAGCAACATCATAGGAAATGGTGTGAGGCTGACTAGCGGTAGTTTATTCTGGGAAACTCACAAAATTCACAGCTCTCTTGCTACCAATTCCGAACCATAGTGGCACGAAAGGCGTTTGAGCAAGGTGCATTTCCGCTTTTTTGGCAGATACATCGTTAATAGTGTTACATGTGACTGACAGCAAAGTGACAAGTCGAAGACATAAATTACTTGAGTTTCAAGGTCGTATAACCTCCGAGCGCCTGTTTGTTAATGGAGAGAATGGCCTATGATGGCGCCAACCATCTCGTTTATCTGGGACTAGGATCATTTGTAGAGGAAAGGATCCGATTTGGACTCTCCTGTGACTATACGATTTGGACTTTCTTGTGACTATAGAACAGCTGAAATCAAACAGAACTGAAAAATACACTTTGTGTTCACCTCGCCACTTCACCAAAGAGTGTGGAACTCTCAGGATGTAGATGTGGTGAGTATGATATAGACATACAGGTAGGAAGATACCCGAGCTTCAAACATACAGTGACAATCGTATCTGATGCTGATGCGCAGGCCTTATGTCGCAAAGCCTCAAAGCGCTTAAACAGACAAAGTCAGCTTACAAGGAATTAGTCAAAAGTTAACCCAGCCATTCCAAACAAGCTATATATCGTCGGACTCGTCTTAAAATGCTGATTCCAAATATATGTTTACATCTGCCAAAGTACTACCTGGGGAGGGTTATGAGCGTAATATGAGAAATTTTTGAGTTTCGACTAACATATTCCCTTTAACACTTTTCGGATCGCGAAAACGCGCGCGGCGAAAAAAAGTGTACTTTCAGCCGTTAGTTTACAAAGGGACCTTGTTTCGCAGACTGTGTGCTGCATCTGTAGCATGTCAGATAAGCTCCGTACCCAAAGTTCTGAGTGAATTCAAAGTGTTTGAATTTTGTCGATTGAAAAGGATTTCTGTGCTTTCCTGAAAGATAGGAACAAGAACTTAGTTTCTGATTGTATCCAAAAATATCTATGCTGTACACAATACACATCATTATTGAAACTATGGTTTTTTTTTCTTTGAATGCGAAGCAAAGAAAAGTTGCGACGTCGCATGCGTCGTTCGCGTTGCCGCACTTTGTTGCAACTCCTGTTCGATTTGTCCTCATGTCTCCTGAACAGATATCGGCGGCACAACTCTACAGAGTCATTTGGAAAGTGGGAGCTTAGGCCTTTGACTTGATAAATTTGGATTAAAAGAAAACTCCCTGCAAGCGTCAAAAAGATCCTTCAAAGCAGCGGGCTGCACTATGTGCAGCACCCGTCCGAAACGTGTTAAAGGCACTGATGGCGCGGATTTACAGTGGCTATGGTCAATTCAATTACAAGGAAGAATATTCACCAAAAACCTAAAAAGTGTTCTACGAAGTGTGTTTAAAATTTCCGCGTAGCCATTATGTCGGCGAGAGATTTGCTTGCACTACAGTGCTGGACATAATTATAAAGCCACTCTGAAAATCGTCGTAGTTTCCGTTCTTGTCAATGAATCTGTCTGAAACTTTGCTGTATTGTGCGCATGTCACCCCACCATGACCCTTCAAAGGCTTCCAGTCTTGTTGAAATTGAA